TTGGATCCACCATCAGATGGCTCACTGGGATTTGAAACATAAAACTAGGGCCCCTGGCAGGTGTTATTTTCATCATGCAGTGGGTACTGAGGAATTTTGTTGTGTAATGGAAATGTGCCTGGCTTGATGTTTAATCAGCAGCTGTGTGGATAGGGAAAAAAGCAGTGCAGGAGCTTCAGGGCCACAGCTTACCAGCTAAAGGAGTCCCTGCCAGGGGTGGATCCAGGTCACCCCCCATTCCTTATGCTGTGAAGTGAATGTTCCTTGTTCAACTAACTGGCAGACCTGGGAGGATGTGGTAGGGTAGCATAGGGGGAATTTCTCCCATGGTTTGACCTGTTTGGATAATTTGAGCTCTGCTGCCTCTGCACCACAGTCCTTTGTACTGAGTGGGGGTGACCAAGGGCTGTACAATAGGCAGAGGACATTCCCCCCATGATTCTGCCATCCCATATGGAATGGGTCAAGTGGCTGGGGAATGTCCCTATGGCCCTTGCACAGAATTCTGGGTCACCCTGTTTCTGTGCAAGGAGCAAGAGAAAGAGCTGGTATGGTTTGGCCTGTTTTGGGTATTCCTGGGATGGGTCAAGATAGCTCCTTCCCCTGCCCTTTGCACAGTATTTTACCCTGGTACGATGTGAGGGTGCATTCCCCTTGCAAGGAACCAACGTGAGGAATCAGTCACAGATCCGGGATAGCAGCTAGGGCTGTTGATCTGCAGAGGTGAGGAAGCAGACAGCATGACTAGGGACAGACATTAAAAAAGCTAGAGCCTGAATTGATTCAATCTTTGCAGGTTAGTCTAACATGGCAAGGCTGTACCAGTTTGCAACTGTATAGACATTCCCTCTGGACAGAGGAAATGCAGGCACATGCCTGCAGTGGCTTGGACTAGAAGCCAGGGGATGCTAGAGCAGCCTCCATTCCCTTCTTTAGTACTGAGTTAAGCAGGAGACGTAGCCAGGCCCTGGCAGGATGCTCTGATTAAGGAGGGATCCTCTCCCCCCGCTGCTTCTGACCAGCAGGAGCCAGCAGGGAGTTGATACAGAGTTTAGCTCCCCATCAAGGAAACAAAAGCCTCTCTCATTAGTTCAAGCTCTTCTTAAACAGCTTTTTCCAAGAAAGGTATGGAGGGACATTACCAGCTGACCTGTTGATTAGCTCCAAAAAGCCCTAAGCAGACACTGTCCTGTTTACCTTACACAGATGCCTCTCAGCATTAGCTTGCATACCATATGCTGGCTATGGTCCATGCTGTAGGACAGGGGAAGTGGGGAATCCCTGCTTCAGCAGGGAGTGGTGAGAGGGGGTGGGGCAAGGGGAAGCCAGACAGACCCTGCCATGTCTGCAGACTCTGCCAGAGGACCAGCTAGGGAGCAGAGGGGTGGGACCACCCCTGCTCTTAAATAGAGAGCCCCATCCAGGGCTGCAAAGCATCTGGCATGCTGTGGGACTCTGGTTTAAATTACACCAGGGAGGGGTCTGGGACAGACATTGCATAAACCAGTTTGACCCAAATCAGTTAAGTCTGATACTATATTCAGCCAGGTTTATCTCAAACTGATTTCAGCTATTTTCAAACTGATTTATGGGCCAAACCTCTGTTCTGTTACAGGTTTAAACCAGTTTCTGATCACTTAAAACAGTTTGTATGTAATGGCTGTCCCTAGCCCAAGACTTGTCCCAGCTCCAGGCTATGTTTGAAAGCAGCAATTGCTGCTCTGGGACCTATCAGGGTCCAAGCACAATAACTGGAGCTATGATTACAGTCCCTGTTCACCCACTGGGATGAATCCCAGGGTACCCAGGACCCAGGAAAGCCTTATCACTCATTGCATAATATGCTACGTGTTCAAATTAAACCACAGTACAAACCAGCCACAAAGATGTCCCACATTTAACAAGTAACACATTTGAGGCTCGTTCACTATTTTGTGGCTGGTTTGCCATTTTTATTGTGCAATAAATCACTTGAATATGTGTGGCATTTTACAGTTTGTCATACGGTAAGTGTAATGTCTTCCAGAGGCTTCTCTTTCAGTTCTCATACTAGTAGCAAATGCTTCTTTTGCTGGTGTAAATCTAGCTTAAAGTGGAGAGGAACTGAAAAAATCATTAAACCACATCATTTGGTGACCCAGATTGAAAAAGGCAACAATAAAACCACCATGCAACTACAGGTCTAAAAGTCCTTTATTCACACTGTTCTGACACCGAAGCTCTGGCATCATTTGAACAGCAATTTGCCCGTTGCTACTTCACAAGCCAGTGGATTTTTTGTTTAATAGAATCCACTCCTCTGAACTTGTATCCCAGTCCTTTAAACCAAGACTCTCTCATTGAGTTATTGATCTCAATTCCAGGTCCTGAGGAATTGTATCCATGTTGAAACCCACACACATATACAAATTGAAAAAACTAAATTGGACACAATACATACACACACACACACACACACACACACACACACACACACACACACACACACACAAAACACATCAACATGCTCAACACAATGCTGCCAGCCCCAAATATTAAAAAATTGTGAGTGAGACATTATAGCACTGGCTTAAAAATCATAGGATTTAATTTGTGGTTCTTTCTAGTGGCCTTCTTGGTTTTGGAGTCATGATGTTACACACTGTTCAGATTTTCAGCTTTCCTCCACAACCATGAGGAACTGAAACTATTTTTCCTTTTAAACGAAATCTGAGATTCGCAGCTTTAGCAGCAGGAGATTTAAAATCAAACAGTAAATACAGTAAGAGTTAGTATATCATTGCTGGCAGTTCCAACAGAAGTAAAGATTTCCACTGGCATGGAGACTGAGCTAAGCCATTCAGATGTTTCTGTTTCTCTCGCTCTCTCAAAAACACTGTAATAAAAATTTCTCTCCTAGAGAATAAAATCCAGATTTCATTTAGGCCTAGATTTTGCCCCAGTTTTTCTTAGCAATAAGAATAAATGTCCGTGCCAATAAGATGACTATTTAGCAAAAAAATTCAAACTTGGTTTTGACTGAGGTTTTTTTTTTAATGTGTATTAATAACATTATGTATTCAACTTATATGAACAATATTTAAGAAGATTGGGGAAGGAATTCAGAATGCAAAATTACAAACAACCTTATATACTCACCATAAAAATGTGCTCTTAAAAAATTCTGGGATGGGACCAACATTGAAATGAGATTCCTACAAAATAGCTTTTTCAGGCACACTAAATATCCTTCAGTTCAGCAAAATATATAATCCTCTTGGATCAGGCAATTGGATTTTCTTAGAACATGCTGAGATAACAGCATTCTGCTACATTCTGGCACTATAAAACCATTGCTTATGAAAATAAAAGAAAAATACGGTCTCTCTGGGAACATACGTCTCAGAATTACTTTTTTTCCATAGTTTAAATGTTGAACTCTCAAAATCAATTCTTACACAAATACACCACATACTCTTTATGAGTCATGGCAAAAACTCTCCTGCACCAATGTTTTAAGTCGGCCAAGTGTACATATACCCTTCAAAATGATGATCCGTTCACAAGCTTGGCTCTGACTTCAGCTAACCTTGGATAATAGCCAATGTACAACTGCTGGAGTCAAAATCTATAACAGCACCATCTAGTGAGAACAAAGTGAAAATAGCAGCATGCAAATGTAAATAGCGTTTGATGTCAGGAGACTGGCATAATGCCACTTCTCTGCTAATTGTATATTACAACTACACTTCAAACATGGCTTTCTTCCTCTATGTCTAACTTTGCATCCATACAGTGACAAGCACAGAAAAAGATTCAGTAGACAATGCAGCTTTCTCCTTTAGTGCTGCAAGCTGGGAAATCACTTGAATTATATGTTTATATTTCAACTGGAGTAACTTTCCTCTCATTTATTTTTGCAACCTAAAGCTGGGTGGGGGTGTTGAGAAATTTAACTTTTAAAATTTACTTATCATTTATGATGTAAATTTATTGATTCTTTACTTTGTAGAGGGGATACAATACTGTTAGAGGGCAAGCCACCTCAGAATATAAATTACCATCACACTGTACTAAGCAAGCCTTGAAGACATTTGACTCTGTTCCTCTTACATGACTGTAATGTTCTGTGGGCCTACTTTTGTTTCTGAAATATAAAATCTTTAAAATGGGCCAAATAACTTTCCTTCACTAGTCTTCTCAAACAAAATAACATTTTCACACTCTATATCAGCAGTTCCCAACCTTGGGGGTCATTACTCCATCTAGGTCACAACGATAAAAACTGGGGTCGCAAAGACAATCAGAGATTTTCTCATTTAAAGGAGAAAAAAGCAGGAAACTCCCCGTGCAGGCTGGCAGAGTTCCAGGGGTCTGCGGTACTGCAAACCACATGTGCGCGCTTGTCTGGATGCACCCTCTCGGTTCACACCAGCAGAAAAAAAATGATGGAGTTGAGAAAGGATTTTATCATGTTGAGTCACAATCTGAACATCTCCTTTTCCCCACTCTTTTTAAGCAGTTACAGCAAGAATTAGAAGAGTCATTGTTTGTTTTATGATACTCATGCTTAATGTTTAAGAAGCATTGCAGCACTGTGGGAAATGAGTCTTTCCAGGATTTTCAGTGGACTTCAGATTGGGTCCAAATTGATGCTGAAGACAGATGAGCCCAAGGAAAACAAATAGCACAATCTTATTTGTAACAGCCTCTAGTGAGCTGCTTATACTATAGACATTATGGAGGTGTTGAGATTTCTGATTTAGCATGTACCACTGTAACTACTGCTGATGTACAGCAGCGTAAGGAAGAAGAAACAAACACCTAGTGAGCAGGCATGTACAAGAATTTACCACTTGAAATTCCAGAGAAGTGCAAAGGTTTAATAAGTTGCATAATACAGATTCAAAGAGGAATATGAATATTAGAAGAGATTACAGACACATATATACGTGTATGAACACACAAGCACACATGCACACACATTCATAAATGAATCTAATGAGTATCCTTGTACATACCATCCAAAATAATGTCCCTGTGGCCAGAGCTGCATACTGTTCAATTGTAGAAAGCACGCTGAATATAAGGCAGATCAACACTATAAGGAAACTAGAAAGAAAACAACAACAGTGAGATTACTAACATGTTTTATTAAAACTCAGTAAAAATAGGGAAGGAGGATAGGTAAAATAAGCAAAATTCTCTATTATTTAATTTCCTTTGCACATGCAAAAATTATTTCTTAAAATCACACCTGAAACACATTTAGCAGTCATTTTGCCTTTGGTAGAACAACACGTATTTCTTTTTAAACATGGAGGCATAGGGAAAGGGTTCGGTTTTTGTTTTTTGGTTTTCTGGACAGGAACCACACCCTGGATGGCCTTGGGATTCATCACATCTTCAAGGAAAGGTACTTGTGAGCACAAATCTTTATAGTGGGTTCAGGAAAAAACCTGACACTCACTATTGCTAAAAAAAGCTGAAATTCCCTTTCAGATTAGAAGCTGAAAGATTAGGGGTTGTATAGGCAACCTGAAGACGAAACAGTAAGAGCAGTGGAGACCCTCCCCCGTGATGTAGAGAAATAGTGGCAACCCCTGGAGGTGGGAGCCAGAGCAGTGGCCCCTGGCACTGTACTGTAATAGTTCTCCCCAGCCACCAGAGCAGAGTGCTCCCTACCACTGTACCCCAGCAGCACTCCCCAGCATCATAGTGGCAGCAACTCTGGTGCAGGCCTTCCTACCTAATACCTACTACTTTGGCTGGTGTAAGTTGTAGAGCCCCTGGAGCAGAGCAGCAAACCCTGGCACTGAGGAGCAACAGGGGCTCCAAGCTGGGCTTCCCTACCCAGCACTTGGCTACTTGGCTGGCATAGCTGGTAGAGCCCTAAGATGCCACTCCTAGTTTCATAGTTACTAGGGTCGGAAGGGACCTGAGAAGATCATCTAGTCCGACCCCCTGCCATGGCAGGAAAGAGTACTGGGGCCAAACGACCCCAGCAAGGTGTTCATCTAACCTCTTCTTAAAAACCCCCAGGGTAGGAGCCTGCACCACCTCCCTTGGAAGTTGGTTCCAGACCCTAGCCGCCCTGACCGTGAAATAGAGCCTTCTGATGTCTAACCTAAACCTACCCTCTGCTAGCTTGTGACCATTGTTCCTGGTCACTCCTGGCTGTGCTTGGGGGAACAGTGACTCCCCCAATGCCTTCTGATCCCCCCT